TGTCGACGAAACTTGGAAAGGTGCAGCGAAGCTCGGATAGCTCGATCCGAGCTCGGCGTTACGAAGCCTGGACGGTCGGAGAATTGACAAGCAAACGTGGCTGTGGACGGACCAGGTCAGAGAGAAAGTGCGCGAGAAGAAGAAGCGGTACCACGCTTTTCTTAAACGAAAAGACAGCTGATAACTGGCGGAGCTATCAGATAGCGAAGAAAGAGGCAAAGAAGGCCGTTGCTTCCGTAAAAGCAGCTCATTTTGCTGATGTCAACGAAACTCGAGTCGCGCGATGGAGAGCGGTACGTTTACCGACTCGCAAAGACCCGCCATCGCCAGACCGAGGATATAGAAAAGTTCTTCGGCATAAATGACGAAATGGCCACCTTTGACGGACCGCAAGAAAACATTGAAGCGATGGCACGACTACTTCGAAACATCTCAACAGTCGAATTTGCCTCATCCTGCCATCCCTGTGCTCCGCCAGTACACGGTCCCGTTCAGAAGATAACCGTGGAGGAGACCATAACGGCTATGAAGAAGATGAATCAGGCAAAGCAACTGGTCCCGACGACTTAGCGGCCGACTTGTGGAAGTCAAAGTGCTGGAATCCTGCAGAATGGTTGACGGAGTTCTTCAACCAGATCGTTGCAGAGAAGAAGGTGCCTGAGAGCTGGCAACAGAGCACGACGATTCCCATCTGGAAGAAGAAAGGCAGTCCTGGAGACTGCACTAGCTACCGTCCAATTCGCCTGCTCTCGCACAGCATGAAAATCTTTGAGCGAATTGTAGACAGTCGTATCCGGGACATCGTCGAGCTGACCACCAACCAGTGTGGTTTTGTGGCTGGCTGCAGCACCATCGATGCCATACACGCCGCTCGCCTTCTGCTAGAAAAACATCGCGAAAAACAAAGACCGGTGCATTTGCCTTCCTAGACTTGGAGAAGGCTTTCGATCGCGTTCCGCGTGACGTTATATGGTATGCCTTACGACAGCATGGCGTTCCCGAAGAGCTTATTGAGTGGGTGCGCATCCTTTACTCGAGTCCAAAGAGCCGAGTGCAAACGGCAGCAGGCACTTCGATGGATTTTCCCATCTCTGTCGGGGTACACCAAGGCTCTGCGTTATCCCCACTCCTATTTGTTGTCGTCATGGATGCCATTTCGAGAGATCTTCAGAAGCCGGCTCCATGGACGCTTCTTTATGCTGATGACGTGATGCTCGCTAGCGAAGATAAAAGCACGCTCGAGCAACAGGTGCAAACCTGGTCCGACCGTCTGGCTATGTTCGGGCTCAGGTTGAACGTCAAAAAGACAGAGTACTTGACCACCGATTCGAGTGAGCCAGGCTCTATCAAGATCAATGGTACTGAGCTCACACGTACAACGACATTCAAGTATCTTGGATCAGCAATCGCGGCTGATGGCAGTCTGGCTTCTGAAGCGAATTCTCGCGTGAGTGCAGCGTGGTCGAAATGGCGCGCAATGACTGGCGTTCTGTGCGATAAGAACATACCAGAACGTCTCAAATCTAAGATCTATAGAACCGTCATCCGGCCAGTCGCGATTTACGGTGCCGAATGCTGGCCTGCGACTAAAGAAGTCGAAGCCCGTCTCAGTGTGATGGAGACGAAGATGCTGCGTTGGACAGCTGGAGTCACTCGACTAGACCACATTCGAAACGAAGTCATCAGAGAACGATTCGGTGTGGCTCCAATTGCCGACAAGATGCGCGAAGCCCGTCTTCGATGGTACGGTCATGTTCTTCGTGCAAAAGATGACAGTGTCCGTAAGATCAGCTTCAGCCTTGACGTGTCCGGAAAACGGCCTAAGGGACGCCCGAAACAGCGCTGGCTCGATACGTTGCACACAGACTTGAAGTCGGTTAACATACACCCCGACCAAGCATTTAATCGGGAAAAGTGGCGTCAGCATATCAGAAAAGCGGACCCCGCCAACAACGGGACAAACGCTGAAGAATAAGAAGAAGAAGAAGAAAGAAGAACAGAAGAAGACCTCCTTTAGTTGTAGAAAAGATATTCCGTAAAAGCTATATTCCTTGAAGTCGCATCCATGATTCTCGAGTGATGCGAATATTGGTCGTCCTTCCGAAATTACGGCTTTTAATCTCATAAAATATATCACACAAGCAAACAAGCAAATAATCCTTCTAATCGTTGCAAAGAAAAAGAGTAATACATACAAGAACACTGCGGCTTAAATAAAAATGTAAGGTACTCATTCCTAGGCCAGACTATCGGACTGCCACCGGGATTTCTTTCGAGTTACCTTCTCATCGTTAGTGTTGTGTCCACGGTAAATATAGTCGACTTGAATGCTTGAAATCAATGAGAAATTGGGAAAAAAAGGGATTAATGAGACTCGCGAATTTTAGACCCTCACGTGCGAGGGATTGACCGAAGATGCGCTATTTGGCCCTAAAACGCACTTATTGAAATTGTCACGTGCGTCGTAAAATTTTTCGCGTTCTGAACGACAGAATGCTGTCCACAGATATCTAATTTGAGCAAGAATCGGGCTTTCACGGCGATCATGTCTTTTTATATAATGAGTATTTAATATTGAAATGATTGAGCTCAATCGAGATGATGTTGTTTAGTGCAGATTTATAGGTTCGGCCGATGCGCCATGTTTTGGGGCATCACTCCCGAATATAAGTTTGTGTGGTTCTCTTGAATTCATCAACTCTTCATGTACTATTACTCATAAATTCCACATCGTACAACGGACCTAAATGCACTAGTTACATAACCGAGCTCAGAGCAGGGAATTTGAGTTGAAGGTTTGAACTTTGAATGTCGTTAGAGGACCTTGAATTTCTTGAACTTGTAAGTGACAACGTCCCAAGCGAGTTCGCCAACCGTCCTGTTTACCCGAACTCTTCACCGTAGCGGAACAGAGGATCTAGCCTTCCGAGTCGTCCGGCCAAGATTTTGACGAAACAAAGGCCTGATGGCTGAATCGGTGAGTAATCGCCGTTACCGAGTTAGCGCGGAGGGGCTCACGCCTCACGCTGTGGTATTCAGCCCGAGGCGCCTCTCCGACACGTCGGCCGCTGCCTCGAACTTACGCTAGGAGCCCCCCGCGGGCTATAAGGATGACATCATAGAACGACGGTTCTGACAATATTTATTTTGACTGCATAACCTGTATCTATTAGCGTTTTTTTGATATATTTCAACTGTCCATCAAGTGGCTTCTATTTGTGAATATCCGAAATATCCTCTCTACGTGCTTTGAGTTTTTCTATAAATGAGACAAACATATGCATCACATATTCATTTACATACGTAGAATCTGAACAAAATCCGGAATGAGGAGAAAATAAACTCGGCAGGCAAGTGAAAGACTAGATAAAGCGCTGCAGACACAGCATTCAAGGTTTTGCCGAATAAGGAAAGCCATTTAAGTCTCGACGGAATCGCTTTCAACAAGACCAATAGGAGCAGAGAAAATCAGTATAGCTAGAACACTAATTTCACAGTAGCATTTCTAGGGATTCAACCCTTACTCGTACACGTGATTATGATATGGTACATTCAAATGACCCTGACAGATGTTGTTGTAGCACGAACATTCTCGAAACTATCTCGGAATGATGAGTAGATAATGAATCGGTCGGTCTAGCGACAAGTTGATAACCTGAGATAACCGGGATGGTAATCGTTGAGCTGTGCAGACGTCGTCAGCAGCGAGCACCTGCAAGTCGAAAAGTGAGAATAAACAAGCTCTTCTGGCCGAGGTAGGAATATCCCTACTATATACAGGGGGGGGGCAAAAAAAAGACATTTTGCCTCCACTTCCAGATGGATTTAAGCACATTTTACTCAACTCAGACCGAACGGTTCCAACTTATTATTAAAGAGTGCATTCCATTCTATAAGAAAATCTTCATAGTGGCCACGTACGTGGACGGCATCAGAAGAATTAGCCCTGGAAACATGGTGCACTGGTCGATCTCAATGGGGTCTTCGAAGGATCGTGTACCATAACGACCCTTACTGGAAAGCTAGTTCCGAGGGGATTTGCACAGTGGTAGCTAATGCCTCTAGAAAACTATCCAACATTAAATCGATTCACGAAATTGCGTAAGAGCTTCAGGCTGAAGCTCTTACGGTAGACCTCCTTGAGCCTGACGACGGTGACAGATGACGTCATATTCTGAAGACGGTGAGGGCAGTGAAGGAGCCTGCGTACACTAATAGAGGAACACTTAGGGAATACTCTGCTGAGGAACTCCCGTCAACGACAGCAATCTCTGCGAAGAAAAAAGAGCCGAAGTCCGACATAGGCAAAATGTCTTTTTTTTTTGGCCCCCCCCCCTGTATAAAACCTATGTCTGTCTGTTTGCGTGTGCGTGTGTGTGTCACGAAATTCATAGCACGCGTCGCAGCACTCGTTAAGAGCTGATTTTTTGATATGATATAGGGGGTGGGCGAGAACATATTTGGTGGGGGTACAAAGTGATAACGACTGATAAGAGCAGATAAGGAGGCGCTGAAACACAAATTTCACGAAATATATAGTGCGCTTCGCAGCAGTCGTCAGGAACTGATTTTGGGACATGATATGGGGGTGGGACGGTAACATATTTGGTGGGGTCAAAAGTGATAACGACTGATGAGGACTGATAATTACGATATGCGTACGAACGTAGAGATTACTCGAAACCAGATTGCAGATAATGCATTTCATTTCAATATCATTTCATTAGCGTTATAATTGTAAATTCAAACACCTTTCAACCGCTACACCTTCTAGAGTTCTTGAGGATGAATGGGATGCTCTAATAAATTTGATAGTGAATACTGGGCATTCCGTCTTGAGATTACCAAAAATTATTCGACCGCTAAATTTCCTCGATTCTCGATGCATGGTGGTTGTTTACATACATCACTTTAGCTGTGCACTTCACTGCGCTTATCAAACAGTGAGATACAGCCAAGATGGGCAACGGACAGTAATGCATTTAACGAAGCAGCTATAGTTAAGCGGTGAAACCCAAAGCTTCACCGATTGTCAGTTTTGTCAGAGGCTTCCGTGTCATGCGCGCGGTAGCGGGCGGAGCTAAACTGGTAGAATAATAAGAATGAAGACGGATTTCGAGGAAATTCGTTGAACTAAAAAAGACTGTAGGAGGTAAAGGTGAACATAATACATAGTGTCAGGGATAGGGGTCAGTATTGATTAACTACATATCAGCATTTAGGACGCAAGCGACAAAATTACAGCTAAAATAAAGACGAAGTCGAATTCGAACCAAACTATCTCCATCACCCATCTGTGCTCATTTAACCCACAAGATGACACCCGCACCTCCAATTCGAAACAGCGCTCAACAGTGGCTTCGGCGAGAAGTATTGTTAGCTATCGCCGCCTGGCCTCAGCTCTCACGCGCCCAACGCGAGTTTACACTTGCTTGAACTTTGAAGAAACAGAGACAGAAATTTATAAATGTCTCAAAAACCCCATACACTGATTGCATTCCACTAGCCAAGAACGCTCTGCTTTTTCCTGTGATTTCATTCAGAGCCCCTCCACTGCTTTCCATAGTGGCAGGAAGAATATGGCCTTCCTATCGAGGAGTCCTTGACGTTTGCTCACTCTGCTCCACTATTACCCCTAATAAAAACTTCACTTGACACTTCGAAAATCGAAATGTCGTTTAAAGATGTCTCAAGTTTGAAAACAAACCAAGACCTCATCAAACGGACACATTCTCAGTACCAGGTAAGCAGTTCAGAAAGAACCACCCGTTGATACTTGCAATCCCGTAAGCTCTAAACATTGGAAACAGTTCACTTCTTAGTTGGTACGTTCCGTTTCGAAGTTAGAAAAAACTGCAGATAAACAAATAAGGAGATAGCAGCAAAAATGACAAATTCAAAGGTAATAAAACAAAAAATGAATAAATAAAGTAATAAATAAAAAGTAGTAACAATACAAATAAAAAAATTAAATGATTGTAGTATAGTGTAGATGATAAGTAATAAATGAATAATAATAAATAAATTATAAATTTATTCAACGATAGGAAAATTCTCAACCTAACGTGGCACCATCGTAAGCAGTCGACGAACCTCTTCGAAACGGGCGGTGTCGCCCGTATTACTCGGAACAGCTCTGAGGACCAGCGCCGAAGCGAGCTACCCCCTCCTAGAAATTAAAATATGAAAAAATTGAAGTCGACTTCCCGGAAAGCATCACAAAATGTTAGCAACCTGTAAACTGTTCAACAAACCTTTGCGAATAACAAGCGAGAACTGGTGATGTGCTCCCAGAGATTGCTCAGAGAAAGAGAAACAATCCATCTGAATTTTAAGTTGATTAAATTTCGACATAAGGTTTTGACGCAGATATTTGTAACGAACCAGCGTTTGAGCGACGACGGATAAGTTGCCGTCTTGACTGATGGATTCCGACACATCAAGAAGAATTTTTGGGTTTTTGATCAGATGCACCCATACTCGCAGAATGTACAGATTCGTATAACTTCGTATAATGTATGCTCGCTTCACAACTGCCAAACATTGAATTTTCCCTTGCAATTCACAGGACATACTCTGTTGAATTCGAAAGGGAATCTAAGCGCTCAAAACAGCGATTGCGCAATAAAGAACCCAAAAAGGCTACACAACGTCAACCATTGACAGTTATTAAGGTATTTTGATGCGTGATCTTCCGGTTTTGGCAGAGTTGACAAGCCGACCTTTCGGCAAATTAATGAAAGCAGGATGCAAACTTATAATGATTAAATGTGAGTTGAATACCGCTCTATCAAGTGTGCCTATTGCACACAAATGTATTGCGTGCGAATAGCCGACAGTAACGAAAGAAGGGGAATAATCCGTCGAAACGCTAGGTAAAGGGCGAATATCACCTTCCTATAGGCTGCACAGGCAATAGAAGTAGGCTGAGAGAGAGTATGAAGAGAGGCGCTAGGGAGACAGCGCCAGACAGCAGCCTGATAAGAGAAAAAATCTGCAGCTTAGGCAGCTTATTTTGCAAGATCCAAGCTATCTAATCTGCTATCTAATCACTCGTCACGTATAGACCTGCGGCGAGTGGTTAAACTGTTTGTGGCCGACTGCCACGAAAGGCCAGTAATCGCAAGGAGGCATATCATTCGATGCGAATTGCGTGTTGGCCCGCACCTTTGGGGGATCTCCTGTCTCTCAGCTAGGTAATTACTCCCCTCGACCTTCATTCCTGCCGTGGAATCCTCTCTATAGCGGAAAATATTATGCTTTCCACACTCCAGTCGTCCTGCAAGAATGCTCACCCTGTTTCGAGTTGCTTCCTCCTCCAATAAGTCGAAGACACGTTTCAGTATCGGCGGATATGTAGAGCATTCGAGGAACATTATTGATTCCAGAAAATCTTCGATATACTTCTGCACAGTACCTTTGCTGCAAAGAAATGTCTTGAAAATCACTACGGAAATTCACTCGAAAAATTCACACGTAAAATAATGACATTGCAAAATGAGCAACACTAATTACCTATGGGATGACGATAAATTTTTGAAAAGGCCAAGAATATAGAATATTCATAAAAACCCGACGGTGGATTTCTCAAGTTTTCTGTTGTCCCAATTTTTTCTATCCTTCTATCAGAAGGGCGAAGGTGGGGCAGTGATAGATGGCGCCCCTTTTTGCGCGCACTGTCAGAGTATCCAATCTCTAATCGAATCCATCTAATGCCAACCAAACTTCATTCCTCCGGAGTCGGTAAATTGTGAAATTCGCCTATTCTCACCCAACCTTTTATCCCTCCGAGGCGGTTAATGAGGTCGACTCGTCGCGAAGTACTAAATAGAGTACAGAATATGTGCCGCATAGGCTGCTACCAACTATCCACCTAAATAGGGCAACAAAGTGTTCGAATACAATCACTATCTGAGTAGTCTCAAACCGCGTAGCCTACCCCAACAGGAGACTGACCGACGTCTAGCGCTTCCCTCCATTATTTTACCGTATTAATGTATTTCCTATTTCTTGCACTGTTCTGGTCAATTGTGCCCTCCACCGTAACTTGCCTTTCCTAGGCTCCAAAACGTAACATGGGAAAGACGTTCGGTGTTTTCGAAGATGCAAACATTGAAGAAATTGCCAATGGGTATCGTACCTGGTTAGAAGACGGGTGAGGTAAACCTCTGGAATTGATTTCGGAATACTTTCGTCGATTTTCTTTCGTTTTTCCATTGTCAGCGTTCGCGATGGACTGGACAAGTGGCAGAAACGACTCGGCGGATAGACAGGAGACGAACCGATCCAACGACGACCATGACGACTTACCAGAATCGGCCAACGATCGTCTGCCAGCAGGTCAACATTACTTTTTGTAGGGTATTCGTGCAGAAGAACCTACCTCGTTAACCTGTTGAACTCTTCTCTGCTGGAACCATCACGATACGAGATTGGTTGGAGATGCCATAGTGAGACAGAGTATTGAGCTTGGTAGGACCTTTCATCGATGACGGACATGGTCCTGACCAATCTGACAACATTAACCGTCCTCGTGTTGGACACAGTAACTCTGAAATAACAAGGTCTCAAAGTTGTTCCCGAGTCAAATTTGTTGCGCTAAATACAGACAACTCATTTGCAGAAAAGGATCATCGCTCGTAGAGTGAAACATCTCGTGCGGGACTTCACATACCCTAGTGCTTCCTTACGATGGGCTACAGCGGGTAGCATTTGACTGCGCGTCCGCGCGACCTACCCAATGAGACGATTGGCATTCTTGGATCAGTGGCGTAATATTACGTTCGGAAAACAACGGGGCTCTCACATGCGGAATGGGAGACAAAAATCCCCCTGAGGTCGCCGCGCAAGCGAAAGTAAGGTCACCGCACGCGGTGGCCACCGTATCCAGGTCCTTACAGTTTAAAACGTGGCAACTTGCCAGGACTAACAACAAACTAAAACAAAATCGGAGCAAAAAAGCGTTGTATCGATCCTCTGAAGAGGCGGGCTTAAACTTGGCACATTGTCATGTTTCCAACTGCAAAAACGCAGGCGACGTCGCGCGCGGTGACCTAATTTTGGCGCGGCGGTCGCGAGGGGGAACCCCATGGGGAGTCGCGAGGAGTCTTGACCGTCTCTCCTTGCAGGCCCACCACTTTCAAAGTGTAAAGGGCGGCAACGGTTGTCAGGCCTGTATGGACCGTTTTCAATGCGATTGTTGTCATGGAATCCACGTAATACCAGGCAGCCGTACCTCCTCACCTTAGCCTCCATGGGGATACGGTCGTCCCGCCTATCTCCCACTCAGCTATTACCTTATGGTTAGCCTCTTCGCACAATGATGTATGGAACCGCATTCACCTTTAATCCAGCACGACCACTTTTCTCTTATATTAAACAAAACGTTTTGTGGGAATCGACTAAATCGAGTCGTAGTCAGAGTTAGCGGATTCCAACCATGACTCAAGACCCCTGTCGATTGATTCCTATGCTCCTGCAGATGAAAATAGGCTACCATGATTTCACGTCCTGGAACATCGCTTGGACAACCTATTATACTCAGTCTGCGCGCAGAGTGGCGCTCAAACTGGTGGAAGATGAAGGATCGCCAAATCGCTCACTATAGCAATAAACTGTGAACGTCACTTAATGACTTGTGAACATTTGAGAAATTCGCTTCAACACACCCAAATCGAAAGTGACATTTACTTAAGGGCAGAGTTCACGATGAAAAAGCAACCCATTTCAAACTGTTTAAAGCGAGAAATTACGATAAAATTTCTGTGCAGCATGGAAGAACGAGCAGCACTTCAAGCAGTAGCTAGAGCCCAAAGGAATCGAGATGTGGCCTTTTTGTGACTAAAGGTGCGCTCGTTGCAGCGCCCTGGGGCTGCCAATCCTTTCTGAGCTCCGCCTCCGCCTGTGCTCCGCCCCTCAGCAGATCGCTGTTCGATTATCATTCTGATAAGGTATGCCACTTCGAGCGCGTATCCAATTTTTTTCTCATGGAATGCTATATCAATCAAGGTATGATCTCTGGTGGTATGATGGCAGCTATGGTTTAACGAGTGCCGACGACCTCTTAGTTGGTTGCCAACTCGTCCATTATCGGAGGTCAACGGGCAGAGGAAGTGGTCCCATTTTGCGCGTTTTTGACGGATTTCTTTGCTTTTTTCGCTACTAGGGCATTATTCAGCATCTTCACTTCCACTATGAGCACAACAGAATCCTATCGCAATCTCTCGCTTTAAGAAGTGGCTGAACAGGTACAAGAAAAAGGTGAAACCGTGAGAAACGGCCCAGAACCCGAGAAATGGGACCCCTTCCTTGCCCGTTGATTTGCGCATTGATGCGACTTCATCGCTGTGCCCTCTTCAACACTACGCTCTCTCTGCTATCTAATCACTCGCCACGTATAGACCTGCGGCGAGTGATTAGATAGTCGGTGGGCGTACCCCGCCAACCGCGCCAAGAGTGAGCCATGCTAGATCAAATCTTTCGCTGCCAATTGCGCGTCGTCAGTCTCCACACAAATCAATTTCCCCCTCTTCGACTTTCCTTTTTATCGTGGAATCCTCCTTTGATCGTATGTAAAGCATATTGAGAAATCCAGTTCAACGCACCCAAATCGAAACTGGCCATTGTCGGTCGCTGACTATGAGGGGTTCGTTTATAGATGTGATCGAGAATCTTCTGCTTCAGCTGAGAGATCGTATCACAGGCAATGGCTCGCACAGTGAACGGACCACAACCGTCAAGTGTCATCACCAGGCAGTCCTGGAAAGCAGTTTTTCAAGGGCGCGAATTCTAAAATATGATCCAAAATCGTACCACTGAAGAGCAGTCGACGATCTCCCGCAGCAGTTTTGCCTCATTAATCGTGTATCGAGCATTACCGGTGACAGCATCCACAGGACCTCTTTCAGTTTGATATTTCAAGGCCTGAAAGCAGCAACTGCAGGCCAGTCATTAACCAGCGAATGATAAAATTACCGACCTTGAATAAAGTGCTGTACTTATGTGCTTGATACTGGGATATCGAATCATAGAGACAAATCGCCAACCATTTCGACACCATTTTCTCCACAACGCTGTCGCTTTTGCGAAACAGCATATCACTAGTGCCGGCCTACAATTTATAGAAATCGCAGACATTCGAAGAATTCCAAAATTCATAACTACAAATATTGATGAAAAGCCAGAAAAAGGGGTATATTTGCCGTTGAATAATCTCTCTTGGGCTGAAGGGATACGGTGAGACGTATGCAAACCAGCCCTTTTGGCGTTTCTGCTGGGGCCGTATGCTGAATGTTGGGAGAGGGGATGGGGTCCCCGACGGTCGACGGACTACTTCAACTCGGTCCTTAGAA